TAGTCTGAAGGTATATAGAGCTTAACTTCTGCTAGTAGTGATGATGAACTATCTATAATTCAGCAATGGTTAGTTGTGGTGAGATATGCCGGTGGAACGAGGACCATCAGATCCGTTTCACCCGGGCATTACGCCATCCGTCCCAAGAGCTCGGGGAGGCCAGGCATCACCAAGCCACTAGTACGGGGAATATTATCCGAGATACTAGTATACTAGTAGATGTATAGGCAAAGATGCGGACTAGATACCTACCTTCTTAAGAACAATGCTTAGTAGCCAGCCTTAGAAGCGGTCTCAGGCAGTCAAATCTCCCTACTAGTAGGTATGAATTGTACACCTTCTCTTCCTCAGGATCTGTTTGAGTTCCCCGGTCACATTTGTATTGCTTCAAACGGGCTGGGGTAAGTCTGCTACATGCAGAATGCGGTTTACATCCACAGCTGTTTCCGTTTACACCTCGGACAAGTGAAATTTCAGCTCACATAAAGGATTGGCTTAACCGCCATTTCTCAGAGTAAGGATCTCGATAACCGATAGCGATCACTCTGCCAGTTTGGCCGTTGGATGAGGTGATGGACAAATCACAGACGTCAACACCATTTCTGACCGGACCAGGGCGGAAAACAAAAGATTCCTGGGGACGCCTTGAATGAAATCTGATATAGATGCACGCTACATTACCTATGAGACCTCACTGGAGCATCTGTTTACTGTTTGGACGCCTTAAAACCGGAGTCGATAAAGTGATGGCCGTGAATTTTGGAGGTCGTCGCTTAACCGGACCAAGGCACCGGTACCGGTAAAATTAGGATATTTCGATATCTCCTCTCCTAGCTAGCTGTTTGCCACTTTGACCTTAAGATACTCTGGCCTCTCACCACTGGTGTCAATCGTATGTATAAGTCCCGGATCCGCAAGATACGAGGTGAATTGATTCTTCGCTCATCAATCATCGAAACTCATCAAGTCCTCCATGGACCCTAACCAGAAACGGCTGCCGTTTGGATGGGCCAGTGTTTCCATATCTTCTCGGCGGGCATACTTTACGATAGATGAAGTCCCACACCTCGCAGACATTCTGCACGAAGAGCAGCTTGAGAACGCGCAGCGTACATGGCAAGTGTACTATATCGATATCCAATTGATCGTGTTTCATGCACCCCACGCGGAACGACTTGAGACCATGATAAATGGAAGAGCATGTCGGCACATGCTTACGAAAGGATGTGATGGAGATGAAGGACACGGTCATATCTGGTGTTTATGACCGGTTGAATGGGGCGATTGAGTCTTTCGTATTGATTGATATCAGCTCTCCCGGTTCCGCGTCCCGGTAGGGCGGAAGGTTGGGATCTGATTGGATAGTCCTACTTCTCTCTCCTCGCAACGCGAAAAAAGCCTCCACCATCATGGTCAGCTTTCACCACTCTAAATTCAGCGTTCCCATTTTTAAAAGGTTTCACATCCCCAATCTATCATTCATCCCTGGCTCCACACCCAGGATATTCATCACTCAGCTTCTCGGCTACAGTGAATCGCAAGATCACACTGTATACGGAAAATCTGATATGTGATGTGACATGATCTCAATGATCGATTCAATCCTGCACTGTCAAGTAACCGGCATGCCGACCTCTGCATCCAATTGCTCCGTTCTCGTACTTCACAAAACGCCACCACCTTTTTTTTCTCCCTCAATCAAATGACTGAATCCTACCACAACTTTACCTCCATGGTGTAGGAGAGATTAGTCGCTGGCCACACCGCATTTCATACCCTTCTCGTGGTCAGTCAGGACTAGACAAATATCCAGTATGTACACCTCATATATACAGTTCTGCTCGCAGCTCGCCTATTCCCCTCCTTTTTTTATCTGCATCCATCTCTGGGTGGGGTGTCTGCCTGGTCGCCTCATATGCTGCCGCCCTCAGCCGTCACCGCCCATCCATCACCCCAAGCGGTGCTGTCATTCTGACAGGTATATTCATCGGCGTATTAAGCAGCACTGAAGCGTTCCGTCTCGGGCCGCATCCGCATTGCTCCGTGAAAGGCCCCCAGCTCCCAGTTCTGTCATGGAAGGCGGACCAAGTTCAAGTTCCGCCTGTCTGCGACCAGCTGTAGCTGTAGGGTAAGAAGAAAGGATACGTATCCTCTCTCTTGGTCCACCACGTCTCCGTGCTGGAAGGCAGTTCACATGCCGACAACCACCCCACAGCGCACTGCGCGCTCGCGTTCTTGCCCCCATGTGTCCGTCTCTGTCTGCGGGGTGTCAATGCCAGCGTATCCCCCGCGGCGGCTGGTGATGGTGTTGCTCCTGTCACGGTCGACTCGCCTGCTCGGTTTGGACGGTTTTAGGCTCGTACAGGATGGATAGCTCCCAAAACGCAAAAAGGTGCTGAATTGTGTAGTGTGGGTGGTATCGAAATCGTGAAACATCGACGGACGGTGCAGGTGGGAAAGGCGTGTCTGTACCATACTCTACTGCACGAGACGTTCGGCAAGCTGGGCGTTAGCGTGGGGTGTAGCGAGCAGAATGGTGGAATGGGAGAGATGGGATGTGATGGATGATGGGTGATTGATGAATGGTGTGGGTGGGCCACAATCGTTGGCGAGGCGAATCATTCTCTACATAGCCTCACGAGACGGTATGATCAGTCTTATTCAATCAGGACAAGCTAAGGTGTTACTCTTGTTATTAACTGCATCGACCTCAATCTTCCTTTCCCATCGATTGATTGTAATCATTTAAGCGCATGCGTCCCTTTGGGATATGGCGCGAATTCCTTTCCCATCGATTGATTGATTGATTGTAATCATTTAAGCGCATGCGTCCCTTTGGGATATGGCGCGAGAACTAGCATACAAAAACGTCCCCTTTCCGCAGTGTTATACAGCATCTACTCAAAAAACTCTGTTTCATCCGCTTTCAACCCTTTTCTCGCCGGCCTTGCTACCTTTGTAGTGGCCGCCATTTGAGCTGCACGCTTGATGCGTGCTTCGGCTCTCCTGTTTCTACCGAATCTTTCCTTCTTCTGCGTTACATGTTGGGTCTAACCCTCCCCACCTTCTTCTCCACCCGCTATCTCCCATCCCCACTCTTCTTGCTCCTTGTCCGCTCTCGCCAGGTCCTCTTCTTCCGTTTTGGATCTCCCCACCTGCGTTTCTTCGATGAATTTTAGGATTGCCTGAGTGGCCCTGGGTTCCGCAAAGATTGTCGACAGCGCGTACGTCTTCATGAACCCTTCTTTCCTCAGTGTGTTCCAGAGCCCCTCTTGCTCCCTTCTCCATGTTCTACACTCCTTGAACAGGTGGTCGCGGGTCTGACGGGGTCCTTCGCACCACCAGCATTCGTCGCTGTCTCTTTTTCCTATCGATTTAAGGTAGACCGTTCCTTTCCCATCTCATGCTAGTAACACATATACCTATATCAAAAAGCCAATTATTACTCATCACCAGGCAAGATGGCCGAGCGGTCTAAGGCGCCGCACTCAAGTTTCACAACTTATCACATCAAATGTGGTTTGCGGTCTCGAAAGAGGCGTGGGTTCAAATCCCACTCTTGTCATCATGTTTTTGTATTCTCATTTATGAATCCTTTTTTACCTACCTATTCTAGCCTACCTGCCGCAATGTGGCGAGGGTGGAAAACACCTTTTTCGACACTCTCCTCATTTCTCTTCCTCTGCCTATTCCGTTCTGAATCTTGTTCAACCCACAATCTTAAACATTCAATGTGGGCAGTGACTCCTTGCAACCATCTATCTACCCATCCTTATCTCGTTGTGATACGGCTCGAGACTTCTCATCCTAACCTCCCCTCCCGCAGTGAAAAAAAAGCACCTACTGTAGATAAAGATGAAGTTGCTATAAGCCGGTTGTTGTGACACCGGACATTGTGCTATATTACAGTCCAACGGCATGAATTTCGTGTCCATATCCCACTCCATAGCCTGCAGCAACTTCCATGCTCAGGTCCGCTGAGTTCTAATCCTCTGCACTCTCTTTCTCGACATGTTGGTATTTCCGACTGTGACACACGCCCGCTTCCTCAGTGACGCTCCCGAAGAATCTATCTACTAGTTTTAAGCCCATTGTGACGCTTCTCAAACTGGGCTATTTTGACCTCCTGGTGACCTGCGGCAGAGGAACTTCACCTTGAGCTGCAATATTTAACCATCCTCGATTTCGTCCGATTTCAGCCCTTTCCTTGCCAACGTGATAGTACCCTCAAGCCGATTAAAGGAATCCTCCAAACCGAATCTCCAGACTGAATCCCCTCCACTGTAAAGATTGATTGATAGATTGATTGATATCATTTAAGCGCATGCGTCCCTTTGGGATATGGCGCGTCATCTACTCTACAAGCCTCCTCCCTCCCCCGCCCCATTGCTTCCATTACATTGGTTTATTCCGTACATTGGTTTCGTCCACTTTCAACCCTATTTCTCGCCGACCTTTTGCGCTGGCGATGGCCGCCTTTTGAGTTGTGCTAGCGGGCTGCTAAGCACGTTCTCTCCTCTTCCTTTCCATTATTGTGTATGCCACCTCCCCTCCGCCTTCTGCTCTCTCCGTCCTCTGCTCTCTCCGCTCCCTCTTCTCGGTACCTCCTACTCCCCTCTTTCTTCCGTTTCAACTCCTCCCTCTTCGTGCTGCTCCCTCCCCCATCCTTCCTCCACTGTTTGTTTGTTTGTTTGTTTGTAATCATTTAAGCGCATGCGTCCCTTTGGGATATGGCGCGAGAACTAACATACAAAGCGTCCCCTTTCCGCAGTGCCGTACTGCATCTACTCGAAAAAACTCTGTTTCATCCGTTTTCAACCATTCTCTCGCCGGCCTTGCTGCCTTTGCAGTGGCCGCCTTTTGAGCTGTACACTGCTGTGCACTTAGACTCTCCTGCATCTACCGGTTTCTTCTTCCCTTGCTTTACTCTTCCTCCACTGTAAAGCAAATCAACTACAAAACTCCTCATGTTTAACAAAACTCGCCATCGGCCAATCAACGGCAAGATGGCCGAGCGGTCTAAGGCGCCGCACTCAAGTTCTTCTCTCAACTTGCCACATTCCAATGTGGTCTGCATTGCGGTCTCGAAAGAGGCGTGGGTTCAAATCCCACTCTTGTCAGTATTCTTTTTTGAAAAACGTCTTTTTGGTTTTTAGTTTCATCGACGGAGGAGTTTAGGCTATGGATGGAGTATGTAGAACAGAGTAGTGTAGAATCAACAGGTTTCAGACTCGTGGAGAACAAAGCCCGAGGAAATGAGAAGCTGAGAGTGAGAGGTGTGTAATTTATTCGGAGACCCTCGCACGGAGTACAATGCTGGAGGCATATCATCCCGGCCGGCCATTAAACCCAGTATCCACACATAACTAGAGCTTGAAGTCAATCCATTCCAACCATACACTCGTACACTCCCGCTACCAACTACCCACTCACTCCAGCATTTATCCCCATCCTCACTTCATGCCACTGCCACTCCGACTCCGCTCTTCCTCACCTCATTTCCCCGATGCGTCGAGTCCCGCACCGTCAGCTCCTATCCTCCTTTTCCCTCCTCAATATCCCGCTCCCAGTCCCCTCTCTTCGTCTCCCTCCCCCCATCCAGCTCCCAACACCCTCCCCCATGCCATATCGCGTCACCACACTGTCTAACACCAAACCTCACGTAGTAATATCAGTAGCAGTAGCATAATATCAATTCTTCCTCTCAACCATTCCCGAGACTCGACTCCCAACGTTATCCGATATACAAGCTCAACCTCAACTAAAAACAACAACTACAATGAATAGAACAAGCCTCCATCTTCCATTTCATTCTCAAATCAAGCCCCATCGTGACTTCCACTCTCAAGCCGCGTAGTACTACAACCATCAAACCCCGTCCACCCCCCCCAGAAAGCAACCAAAACAAAATAAAAGCATAGAAGAATAAATCCATAAACGGGGTACTAGATAAACGCCTATCGATGATGATGTGGTGGATGTGTGTGCTCTTCAAACCCGTAACCTCAAAAACATAAAAAAAACAAAGCAACACACCAGAATAGCAAAAACAAGAAAGAAGCGCAAGCAACCATATTAAAATCCAGACCAGAAGCAACAAAAGCCACACCCTGAAAGCGCTAGGAAGATGGTATCCAAAGTCCAAAGCCCAAAGCCTAATAATATTACAATTCTTTCTCTCTTTCTCTACCTAATAGCACAGAACACATTCCCTCTCCCTCACTATCTCCTCTGATGCATCACCATCACCGCAAACGCCGGATCCGTCAACAACTCTCTTAATAAATACCCCCTCTCGACCAGTCCTCCCCCACCCCCACTCCCACCTTCACTATCAACAACCCACCCCTCCACCCTCCTCCGCCACCTCTCCTCCTCCTCCTTCTGCCTGCCCACAAACATCGGGCCGACATCAAACTCCTCTCCCACGACAAACTCCCCAAACCCACTACTGAGCCTCGGCGGCCCTCCCGCAAGCCCGCCGAACGAGCTGGTGCCGCCCATTATGATCGAGTTATTGCCGCCTCCTGTGCCACCACCGCCGCTGACACCGCTGCCGGCACCGCTACCACCACCACAGCCGGGAACAGCCGCAGCAACGGATTGCGTATCAGTCGACATGATATCATCTGCGGGGATGTCTTCCACGCCTTCAAACGGATCGAGCTCGTCATCGTCCGGGTCTTCGTCGACTTTGAGCCAGCACATGCGGGATGGGTCGAAGACCATGCCGCCGACGACTTGGACTACTGGGGTAGAGTTTGTGGTGGGGAATTTTGTGATGAGGGCTGGGGCGCGGGTGGGGGTGCGGGTGGAGGTGAGTGTGGTTGTAGCTGGGGTTGTGTGGGCGGTGGTGCTGGTGGTGGGGGGGTCGAAGGCGGCGAGCGCTTTTTCGTTGCCGTCCCAGCGCATCGTGCGCGGGTTATAGGTCATGCCATTGGTGGCGGCTTCTGATTTGTGATCGTCGCGGTTAGCTAGGGGGTTCTTGGATCGACAGGTACATGATTTTTGGGGTGGGAGGAGGAGGGTTCGAAAGACCGGAGACACGGGGATGAGGGTAGGCATCCATCCCTCATCGTCTCCAAGAGCCATCTCTCATCCGGTTCACCGAAACGATCAACGACACCACACCACATGACAGACCACCAGGCGTCTTATCATCCAACCACGTTTTCCCCTTCCAAACCCTCATGAAAAAAAACAACCAAACGGAATGCAGATAACACACCTTTTGGAATGGCATTAATGCTGCCCATTGGCTTGATAAGATGCGGCTTTGCCTGAGTCTTCCTCTTCGATGCTCTCGGGGTGACAGAGCTGCGCTGAGCAATCTGATTTCTCCAGCGATCCGTTGGCGGGCTCGGTGGTGCAGGCGTCGTCATCCCCAGCCGCTGCTGTGTAATCTCTCTTGCATTCCGAGACGCTGTAATCGTAGTCACGGTCGTTAGAACCTCATTCACCAACATCCAATCCCGATTCTGAAAGAAAATACATACCCGCAGTATCTCTCAAGTAGCTGGGCACATCACTCTGGCTCTGACTCTGCCTTCCAAACCGATCAATCCGCTTCTTCGGCTGTTCCTCCCTTGGCACGGTCAAGCTCTTTGGTCTCACTGACCTCGGAGCCCCCTTTGCTACCGGCGTCACAGTGAAGCGGTTCTCCTGTTTCGAACTTGTCGGGAGATCATCAAACGCCTCCAATTCCGTTCCATCGCCAAAATACCTCTTCCTCGTAGGCTGTGTCATTGTTGAAGCTGCCTCACGGCGAAGATGTTCCGGCGCGACCAGGGGCGTCGAAGATGTCGTCGACTTCTTCACCATTGTTGCATTACTAGCGCCGGATGATGAAGGCGAGTGACGAGGTGTCATTCCTGAACGTTGCTGTAACCTCGAAGTAGGCCGTTTATCCACAGCCGGACGCTCCTCAGGCCCCAATGTCTGCCGTGATGACTTGAGCGCAACATGGTGACTCGTCCTGACCGAGCTCCCAGCAGGGAGGAACGGAGCCGGGTGCCGGAAACCGATTTTATTATTGTTGGCATGCGGAGTCTTCGGGCGGATCGATGATTGAGCTTCGCGACTAGGAGGTCTCCCAATGCTGGATCGTGAAGCAGGACGGTTATTAGCGCCGCTACTCGGTGGACGGCTACCGGTGCTTGTCGGGCGACCAGCGCTGTTCGCATTGCTGCTGGGTGGTCTCCCATTCGAAGTCCTGCTAGACGGCCGAGCGCTTGGTGTCCGTATCGGGGGCTGTATCGTTTGCCGAGTGGTTTTCTGTGAAGCAGTGTTGGTACCTCCTGTGACTTTCGCGATATTCTGCATTGATCTTTTCGCTCTCAAAAGCTGAGCACTGGTTGTTGTAGGAGCCATGTTTTCATTCTTTGGCAACCCACGAGTAGAAGTCTTCTTTCCCAAATTCCTCTCAAGCCGGGATCCTGGAATTGCGGGAGGCGGTGGAATGTTGGCAAGATCCGACATCGTTGTCGATGCTGTTCCATTATTTCCAGACCACCTGTTCCGTGTCGTCGACGGCGCAATCTTCTTCACAGTTGGCGGAGGGTTATCGCGTTCCGCGACCGGTTCCAAGGACGACGGCAACAGCACCGGGCCATTTGACAATCGATTCCTCGTGGTGGAAGCCTTCGGGGTATTCAACTTTTCCGTATTTGTTGTAAACGTCAAACTCATGGCCGTTCGTCTCGTGGGACTCTTCTTCCTCGGTTCCTGTTTTTGCTTCACATTCCGATTAAGAGTGAGTTTATGTGCATCAAACAATTCCCCGTCACCAATCTCAATGCCATCAAAGAACCCATCATCATCATCTCGCTCGACATCTGGGTCCTTCTGAATTCTGAACGGCGGTTCTTCTCTCCCCGGCGACATGACCTGTCGTTTCCTCTTCTCCAGCACTGTGTTCAAATCCGGAAGGCCTCCATCAGGAAGAATCAACCCATCAAGCAACATTTCATCCTCACTCTCCATCGTCATTGCCGTCATTGTTGGTGAGAGCAATCCTGCAGCCGAATTCAACCGATCGCCGTTGGTACTACCCCCGCGTCGTGATCCTCCGCAGTATGATCCCCCAATTCCACTATCCAGCTCGCCCCAATCATCAAACCCAACATCCATCGCGCCAAAACGATTATTGTCGACCGTGTTGACATTGAGTCGCAAAGGTGCATCGGCAGGAAACTCGAAATCGGCGTCGAAATCCTCATCCATGGACCTCAAGTCCCTGGGAGCCTCTGACGACGGTGGCGAGGGTAGCGTGGACCTCGAAACCAATCGCGACGACGAGATATCATCGAAATCCTTCATAAAATCATCATCCTCCGGCTCATCTCTAAACTTATTAAGCTGCGAGCTTGCCGACGGTATCAGATTCATCTTGAACGGCGAAGCCACACCGCTCCGTCGTCCATCCATAATTTCATCCAGGGCATCCGGAAACTCTGTTCGTTTCACGCTGAGATTGTTGACGACTGTCGGCAGCTCCAAATCCTCGCTCCAGTCATCATGGGCGGCGATTTTCCTGCTCTTCTTGTTATTCCCCAGACGTTTAATAGTGCCACCAACCAGCGCCGACGACGGTACGTTTTCCGGAATCGGGATGCCGGCGCGAATCGCCGACGCTATTGCTGCAGCTGGAGAATCATCAAGCGGCAACTCATGTTCGTCCATTTCCATGCCATCGAGATCAAAGGCCGAAGTCATTGACATGCGACTCGAGCACAGGGATTCTCTTCGATTCTGAAAGTCGCTTGTTCTCGAGAAGGTCGGGGAGCCCATGATTGAAGCCGAAGCGGTAGCAGATGCGGGGTTGGAGGAATAGTGAGTTGTCGGGATGTCGACGATATCCGCAAAGTCTGGGTCATCATCCCAGCACTCGATAGAGTCGCCGCGACTTCGCTGCTGCGGTGGTGGTTGTTGTTGTTGCTGCATAACCGCCACGTTCGATGCCATCGTGGAGAGCTAGATAGACGCCTTGACAGCACAAAGGACTCTTCGGGGGAAGAGATTGACAACCAGTACCAATCCGTTCGTGCCTCCCTTTCTTCGGGGGCTATCAGTTGGCACGGGAAGAGGGCTTGCTGGCCTTGTTGGACGCTTGCTGCAGTGA